TTTGGGGACATGCAGATGAGGAATAAACAATACCAGTAGCTTTCCATCTCCTGGTGTTGTATGTTGTTCATAGTGTAGTGGACTAGGCCTACGTCGAAACTAAGTCTAAGGTCAAAACTCTTGACCTTTAGAACCTTGTGGGACAGGAACTGTCATTTCATGTATTTGAATACATAAATACAGGTTCACCCATCCTGAGACTTTCTTTCTTGAAGATTCAAGTGAAAAGAACACTCTCTTTTTATTATCATTACTATCTTACAAATGTTGATAATCAAAGTGTCTTAGTTCAAACCATTTTAGATGTTGCAGTGAACTAATCAATTTTATTAACTGAGTAATGATTTTTATTCTCATGTTAAAAGCTGTTGCAGAGTAATTATGCATTTTTCTGATTTCTGCTTTTGAATGAGCAAGTGTGTGCGTTTACAAGGTTACAGTCAAACGAAAAACAAGTTGTTATGTTAAAACTGTCATGTTTTAGAATCCTCTCAGACGTAAATAGAGATGTTTTGCACCTGTTCCTGAAACACGCCAAAACAAAACCCTCTCGGTCTGTGAGAACATTTCTGAGCTGTCCCATAACAATTCTCGCTGTCTCTAACCTCTTACGTCACAAAACCCACCCCGTCTGGTCGTTTCTGACCAATGAAAAATCCCAAAAAGTGAACCGGGAAAGAGTCTTTAAAATGTCAGTACTTCCTGGTCTACACAGACTCACGGAGTTAGAGAGTTGGAGAGTTGTCAGAGTTCTAAGAGTTCTGAGAGCGTAGAGTTCGGTGAGAGTCTACTCAAGTTCTGCTGAGTTCTGATGGAGTGCTGTTGGAGTTCCTGACATGACAACAAAGCTCTCCCGAGTTCCATGGGATTATAACTTTCACTAGCCACTACTCCTGACGAGCTACAGCCCCATCAGGAGACGCTGGACCGGTAGCGTTAACGGAATTCCATATCTGCTGATAAATCTTCAGAAAGGTAATGGATCAAGTTTCCTACCAAGCGTACCGAAGGAGAGCTGGGCTTCTGATGGAGAGTGTCGGTTCTGGTGAACATTCCTCCCTTCCCATTCAATCTTACTCCCTTTAACTTCTTTCATCTTTAACTTTCTATCAAGTAGAAATTCTCCCAGATATTTAGAAATGTCTGTGTAAAGTGCTTATTCACATCCGTGTGGGTAAAAGATCATAGTTGTACAGTTTTATAAATGTCTGTGGTGCAGCAACGGAAAAATCATGGCCGTATGATTTTTCCTGATTGATTGCTTATATTGTTATTTTCATAATTTGCCAAATTAATGTAAATGTTTGATGTTAAATTTGATTCTGTAAATAAATGACCGCATTCATTTTGATGGGTCAAATATAAATGACGTCTCACTTTGCATTTCCTTAAATTCAATGCACGTTTTATTCAGTCCAGAAAAATGAGGAACCCGCGTTAAATGATGAATATATCCCAGCATCTGTTCATCTACAATAGGGATGTAGGGGACACTTGTCTCTCTCCTGCTTTTGGATGTTGTTGGTAGGGATGTAAAGGACACCTGTCTCTTGCCTGGTGTTGGATGTTGTAGATGGGGGTGTAGAGGACACCTGCCTCTCTCCTGGTGTTGGATGTTGTAGGTCAG